CGTGCATTAAGGAAGAAGAGCAGGAGGAGGAGCTGAGGCGGAGGTTGACGTGTGGGAATGACTCAAGTTTTTTTACACATTCCAAGCATTGTTTCCTCCTCCTCCTCCTCCTCCTCCTCCCTGCACCAGTCCCGGGCACTCAGGCCAAGGATTTTCCAGGGCTGTGGGGAGATGGGAGCGGATGATGGATCTAAGGAAGAGGAAGGATGACTCGCTTTTTCCTCTTTCAACCTTTTTAAGAGAACTATTCCCCCTTTCTCCAGCTGAATAAATATGAGTCAGAGGGGCATTATCGTAAAGTTCTGAGCTTTCTCTCTGAATATGCTATAATTGCCTGCATCCCTCACCTGCATGGGAGTGCTATGGTTGACTTGGGAGTGGTTGCGATAAGAAGGGATTAGTAGACAAAGTTAGAGAAGGTAAAACCTAACTTCACTTGTAAGATGAAAAAAGAAGTTAAAAAAAGTAAAACACTTGCACACAACAATTTACAACAAAATGCTGATCAAATAGACCTTTTTCATGTGGATAAATTGTCATCATAGTTTTTTCAGACATGCCTTTAGATTTCCTGGAATAATCACAAACAAGCATTTTGTGATACTATATGTATTCAGTGGGTTTCCTAAAGTACCCAAGTTCCTTAAGTGTGGTAGTAACGAGTTAGTAAATAAGCATAATGCATGAAGCAATACTTTCCTTTCGTGGAGTGCATGCAATATGTCAAGTTTTTCCTCTATGACTGCCATGAAGGAAAAAGATTTTATAAACAAAAATGTGGCAGCCCTTTATAAAAATAAACTCAGGCAGAAGTGTTCTGAAATTTGAGCCTGAAGTGTTGTGGAGAACTGTTTTGAAAAGGGTGTTGATGTAAGCTAATTCATGATATAACACCACACAAATTTGCCACTACTTTTTATGCTTTTATTACAAGAGCACACTTTATTACAACAACAAAAAACTGGTGTACTTCTTAGGTGGACTTCTGTTACCCAAGTTTGAGAGGGTGAGTGAGTGGCAGGGCAGCATGAGTCAGGGCCAGATGGTGCAGAATCAGTGAAGTCTGGGCTGACTAACACTCAGCAATGGTGTTGACTAAAGGAATATTGTCCCATGTGAAATTAAGGAATAGGTTTGTCAGCAAACAATGAATGTTAGTTCTCATCATTATTGATGAAGAAGCTCACAGACCTCACTATTCTGTGCGTCACATCGTTACTGCATATTACAGAACATTTACTTTACTCTGATTGTGTTTCTAGTCAAATCCCTTTGCTTTCATAGAAATCCATTACAGCATGCACTTAAGCGTTTGGGGTGTTCAGTATATCTTAAGTCATCCATTGAAGAAAACCAAGACAACATCTGCAGAGAAGCTGTTCTGCAGCTGACTGCAATGTCAGACCTTAATGCTGTGTTTGGAAATACAACAAAGAATCTAAAAAACAATTGCACTGAATCTCTGTTTCTCCTTAAGGCCTGTCTGGAAGGCAGGCTATAACTTCCCCTTGATGTAGTATGAATTACTTGAAACCATCCAGACAGGGCTTGAATAATATATGGGTATACCTTGAAAAAACTAACTAAAGAAGTCACAGTCACCTCTGACCCCAGATACTGAGGTCAGTAGTGGCCTTCAGCAACGATTCATTGAACTGAATACGTTATTGATTGGAAGTATTTTGTGCTGTTAGAAACCATGTTAGATAACATGCATTTTGCTGTGGATGGTAAAAAGAAGATTTCCATGATTGCTATTTGGAAAGCATAATCAAGGCAAAGCCTCACTGCCAACTGCTTTGCCTCAGTACACTAAAGAGAAGATAGCTCATATTGACTATAATGGTGCTAACAGAAACCATTCGGGACATTGGGACCACTGAGTGCCAATTCAGCACATGACGCCTGACTCATCCGCTCTGCTCTGAGTCACTCCCTCCCCTCCTCATGGTCCAGGATCTGTGGCTCTCTGCTGGACCTGGCTCCTCGCTCCTAATGTCAACCCCGACGCGCCACCGGCAAGAAGCCAGACGAGGACGCAGACATGGCCATACTGAGGAAGAAGAGGCCGATTTTATTCCAACAAGCCTGTCTTTGTGAAGACAAAAGACTGGGTGTGATGACGGTGTGGCAAGTAGTGGGCAAGTTAAAGGAATGGAGCCAAGTCAGTCTGCTTTTTCAATCCAACAAATTAGTGGAGTCTGAAAACAGATTTCAGGAGACAGATTGGTTGCTTGGAATCGGTTGAGAGAGGTCAATGTTTGAACTTAAACCGAAGGTAAACTGTAATAACAAGGCATGAGCCCACGACTCTCCGCTGTTCATGCGTTTGCCCCTTTTTTTCTGTTGTTTTTATTGGTTAGGGCCAACATCAAAGCAAAAGAAAGCTCTTCCTAAGCTCGTTATACAAATGAGCTGTGGTGCCTCCTGCACACCTCGAGCACTGAGCATGTGAAAGATGATCCCAGAAGTTCAAAGGTAAACAACCCTAATAAGGTACGAGTGTCTCTCTGGTCACAGGAGCTCAGCCGGATGTGTTTTATGTCTCAAAGTTAATCCAACAAACTGGAGAGCTCGAGTTTCTTCATATATTTTATTTTTAGTAACGCCAGCAGCATGGCTCTGGGGATGGAAATGTGCATAGGTCAACAACATGGGTCCGGACTAAATCAGCTCTTTGGATGACTTGACTGAAATTGTGTACAGACATTCATGGTCAACTGAGGAAACCATTTTGTCAACTCCATGTGAAGGTTTTTTATTTCTGTGTTTTATGGTGCCTTAATAATTATTGCTTGAACATTTAAGCAAATTTGCATGGTATCCAATAATGTCCAAGAGGATAAACAAACGGCTTTGTGATCCTTTCTTCTTCTCTTAAAACCTGTAGGTCAAAGTTTGCACTCTTCATTTAAAATGGCTCAACATCAACTTGATAAACACGTAGTAATGCACATTCTTGCCAAAAGATGAATCGTACAAACTTGGGTGTTCCCTGATGTTTCCATTTTCCGAAGTTACATGTTTGGATTTTGATTGAAATGTCTCAACAACTTAAGGATGGATGAGCATGAAATGCATCTGGATAAAGTTAAATAACTGTGGTGACCTCTTAATTATTGATCTAGCAACACGATCAGCTAAATAATGTGAATTGTTGATACTCTGTTACAAACTACCAACAAATATCAACAAGCTAAAACACTTCAACCAAATTTTGAACAAGCAAACACAGTAAATAGGATTTCTGCAAAACAACACTGGGGTGCATCTGTCAGTGGAGAGTTGGTCGTCTCTCAACCGGAAGGTGGGGGGCTCGATCCCCAGCCACTCCAGCCACATGTCTAATGTCCCCAAGTTGCCCCCGCTGCTTCGTCAGAGTCATATAAATGAGTGAATGAGATTAGTTACTTCTGATGGTCACGACATAGCAGCCTCTGCCATCAGTGTGTGAATGGATAGGTGTGACCTGCAGTGTAAAAGCGCTTTGAGTAGTCAGACTAGCTCAAGTCCATTAACCATTTAACATCATCGTGTTTCTTTTGTCACCATGAACATGTATTTTACGGTAATTTTAGTTAGCATTTAGCTCAAAGCATCTCTGTGGCTAAGTTAGCTTCAAAGACATACTGATGTAAAATGCATTTTGGACAAACTCTCTTAGATGAGCAAATCTATTGCTCGTGTTCCTGTTGCAATATAATAAAATTACTAACCCCCCCAAAAAACTATTATTTAATCTGATTTTGTGTTGTAAAATGTCAAACTTTCAAAGTGAGCTGTTAAGTCTTCTCTTCATTGCATCACATGGCTTTGAAGAGCTGGACTTTAGCATGTTACATCTTTAGCAAACTAATCAGTATCATAACTCAGCAATTGCTGTGTAACTTATCTAAGGCTTAAACAAACCGACACACTGTCCTGTGGGAACAGAACATCTGTTAGTGACATTTTTGGATGCATAACCGACACATGCGGGGGACCATTGTGGACAGGAAGGCTCAGCTGGCAGAGAGGAAACAGGCATCAGTGAATGGAAACAGGAAAGGCTCATAGGGTAATACACTGCTATGCTAGCACCATTATAGTTTGCTCCCATGTTCAACTCTCCATGCCGATCTCAACATAAATCTGATTGAAAAAGAGACTTCTTCAGAACTTCTGTTTCTTATTCAGTCTCCTCCGGACTAACAAGACCATGAGTGGGACCGTCTTCAAACATAATACAGTAGGTTATTGTTTCTCAAAGCTGTGTGCAGCTCAGAGGCTCTGAATGAGCCGCAAAGTTAATTATGTCTCTTTCTCCACATTTCTGTAAATTACAGCAGAGCGGCTCAATGAACTTAACCAATCCAAAGTGTATTAACTCCACATCTACCATTAGTGAATGAGCTTAGACTGAGCACAGCTACAAAGAGTGAAGTATTACAACAGATTAGCCACAAACCTCAACTTATTAAAGTGGACCGCCTTTAAAGCTGGGCTGTTTAAGTTAACAGTTCCTATTAGTGTGACAAATGGCAAAGTTAAGACACGCCCTCCACAGGAGTTCATTAAAGCACTAAACAGCTTCTCTAATGTAAACTAATCTTACTTTGAAAGGCTTTCTAAATTAGATGAAATAAGGAAATAAAAGGATCTGGTTCCCAGGGTATCAAACTTTGATTTTCTTCTGCAAACATATTCCCCATGAACCCAAGCGAAACAAACTGACAGCTTGAAGTAAATACGTTTATTGAAAACACAAACACTTTTTCCACACAGAAAAAAAAGAAAAGAAATGGCACATGTTTTTTTTCTTCAACAGAGCATGAAAAAACAGAAACAATCTCTCTTGGATATGGTAAATACAAACCCTACTGACACACTTGTGTGAACTTGTTTGATTATGTTTCGGATGTCGCTGTGGAAGCATTTGCTAAAAATGGACGTTGAAGACAGAACAGGAGCGAGGAGTGACAGGAACAGTTTCATGTCATCATCATTGTGTTTTTTTTTTGTTTTTTTTATAAAACAAACTACGGCTATTTTTTAATCAAGTGTTTAAAAAGATGTAAAAAAAATAATAAATAACATACGCTACATCACCTTCACCTACGGCAGTTTAGAAGAGTGATAAAAGATCATTTAAAATCAATTTTGGACGACAGATCGACACAAAGACTCGCCGCCAAGAAGCAACCTCCACTGAGCGTCACTGTGAATCTCAATCCATCAAATCAGCTGGACCTGGTCCAATTATCTAGGTGAAAGAACAGAAAAAAAACACCCATAGTTAGTCCACTGATGGATCATTTAAACATGCTCTTGAATGAAAAGACCTTAGGGTGAAGTTGTCAATAAGTTGGATTGATTTTTCTTTAAACGTTGAAAATGTGAGTCAGAGTGATGAAGACACATTAAGGCCTCCTTTAAGGCCCTGTTAACTTGTGATTGGTAGATGCCATCATTGATAATTAAATATGTGATAAATGGTCCTGCATCCAAATAAATGAGCCCTTACCTGTCCAAACGGTTGACCACGTCCCTCACAGTGTTGATGAGATTCTCGTTGTCCTGGGGGCTGCTGACAATGATGCTGTGGAGCTTCTTCATGTAGGAGTCGATGGTGTCAAGTGAGGGCGTCTCTCCACTACCTGGATGACATAAGTAACGTGCTGTTAGCTCTGGAGTGTTTCTTAAAGCCCCTGTGAGGAGTTTTTAACCACTTGTGAAAATGACTGATAACAATCGTGAAGCCACTTCATGACCAACTAAAGCCAATAAGGCCAATAAGATTTAGTATTTGTATATTCTATCTTTTAATGCATGTAAAAGCAAAGTAGGTGTCAGGCCTGAGGATTTACAGCACTTCAAAGAATACATTTGATTGTTAAAAGAAAGCAGGACATTATTAAGACATGCCACCTTTTTCCCACAGGGGGCGCCAAAATAGAAAAAAAAAGTTCCTCACTAGAGCTTTAAATAGATTATCATGAACGTTATATGCCTCTTTAACCATTCAGCAAATAATAATAGCATGGTGTAAAGTTGTTGTTATTTTAACTACTTCTCACATAGTCTACAAAAGTCTTAACATCGACGTCGTGACATGAACCAAGAGGTTTCTAGGTTTTTGACCACTGAAGGGCAGAAATCACTAGATGACAACCCCAATCAAGAAAGGCACAACAGCACAAGCCACTACTTGTCATGCTGTTGTTTTTTTTTTTGCTGCGAGCGGCATCAAAGGATGTCCCCAGACTGGGTCACTGGGTCCAACAGGCAGAAGGAAACAGCTATCATCAGCCTGACAGGATATTTCTGCCTTGTCATAGTTCAAGTGTGCGTCAAGACATTGTCAACACAAGCAGCAAGGCTACATTTCAAGACTCAAAGATAGCATACAAAACAGAAAAATATATCTCAGGTTGTAATGAACCAACATAGAGTGAGTTTGAATGAAAATTGAAGCACCGATCAAATCAGGGTTAAATGTGCTCACATGCTTTGATGTTTCTGGACACTTTCTCTCCTAAAGAAGAATGTGCAACAGAGCTCCCCCGAGGCCCCGGTCTAAGTGGATTTTGCAATCACGTTTCATTGTCAAGCTCTTACGAAATCATTCCAGTGCTGCTGTGTATATCTATATATAAATATATATATTTGTGCAGCTCGCAGAGTCGGAGTTTCTGCTGTGTGAGCACGGAATTCAAACAGGCGTGGAGAAAATTGCAAGAGAGAACGTGTGGGTGTCAGCTCAGCATGGGTTTGATTTTTTTGGTGTGTGTGCATAAAACAAGTGTGAACAAAGACGACAGCATTCCTTAAATTTGAATATTGAATAGATATCAATTAAGAAGGATTCACCGCCTTACATGGGGAGTCTTACAAAGAACAGCGAGGGTTGAAGGGTGTATCTCTGCAGGAGGAGAGACGCTGGAGTTCAAAGCACAGTAAACACACAGTGGGAGCACGAACACTCCTACATTATTATTTATGTCTCAATGAGGTAAACTGTGACTGTGGAGCTAATATCCTACTACAGTGTTGGTGTCTGGGGATGGATTACTGCTATGGGATATCAAGTCAACAGCAGTTTGTAATGTGCAACGATCAATAAAAGCCAACTTGAACTCTGAGAGTTAAATTACAGACTTTAAGAACTGACAGGAGAGCATTTCTATTCTCTCTACAGCACAATGATGATTACAAAAAGAGAGGACTTATTTTTTTGACTCTTCCAAAAGTTTCTAAGTCTATCTTGTCGTAGCTGAAGCTGGGTACATGCTACAAGATAATCAGGCCGGTTTTTGGGCCTGATTCTCTCCTCCCTACAATCCTAAACTAAGTCCTGATTTTTTGATGTTTCTAAAGATTATCTTGCCAGATTTTCCTGTGCTGTAAAGTTTGGCTCAGACTACAGGTCAGATTTAAAATCCTAACTGATTTTGAAATCGGTTAGCATCCCCGCACATAGGAAGAATCTTAACAGATACTCTTCTCTATAATCTGAAGCATGCACACAGTACATGATATGAAAATACTGGCACCTCACATACTAGAGGATTTTATTAAGACGATCTTACGTGACCTCATGTAGACGTACAGAATTAGGAAATAAGGCGTTCAAGTATGCTGCTCCCTCTTCTTGGAATCGGAGCAAGATACTTTAGATCTTCAGGAGCTGGTTTCCTTGGATTACTTTAAAGGTCTTCTTAATGATCTGGAGGTGGGTGTATCTGACAGTAGATGTTTTAACTAACTCCTATTGCCCTTTTTCATCGCCTTGTTGTTGATGATTTATGACAGGACATTACTACTGTCCTCCCTTGTGTCTCACAGTTATTGACTTCCTTCAGATCCTTTCATGACGTAATCGTCAAGGTATTAAATCCTAAACATCAAACATGTGTGATACTAATCGGAGCGGCCCTGATGCTCTCTGAGCAGATCGGGGAAGTTAATATTGGATCTTTATACCGCTCACACAACAAAATAATCTGAGGTGATAATCTGTTCTGAGCAGCCTCAACTCAGGAATGCCCCCACGCTGTTTTGGTTGGTCATATCTTGCTCTCCAAAACAGTTCAATCTGTCATCATGAGTTAGTTATCTGGCATTTTCAACAATTGTTAAGGTTTGTAAAATCTAATATTTAGTGTGCGCCAGGCTTGATGAGACAAGTTGAATCATTTATCTAAAACAAGCTCAAGATAATTCTATGAGGTAAAATGAGCACCAGTGGAACAATCAGTATTAGTATATCAACGGGTGAAACCGGCCTTACAAAATTCACAGAGGAGAACAAGATTTCAAGGCTAATTTGCTTGTTTAATGGACATTTTGTGAGGTCTTTGGGAGTAGAATTACAAGTGAAGAACCATATATTCATTGTCACCTGGCAGGGGTACGGAGGAGAAGCTGGAGGCGAGCGCCTGGCGCAGGGTCTCCAGGTGCTGATGGAGGAGTCCGTTGCGTCCCCTCTCTTGCATCACGTCCCCCTCCAGCCTATCCACCGCCCCGCGCATGCTCTCCACGTGTTTCTGCAGCGCTGCGTTCCGCTCCTCGTACTCCATGTTGGTCTTACGCAGCTGCCTCATCTCAGCCTCACGTGCTAGAGACGAAAACAGGAACACAAGAAAGAGAGACTGAGACAATAGTGCATGGACAGAGAGAAGAAAGAAACAGCCAACGGCAGCAGTTGGTGCCATAATCAATTATTTATTCGCTAAAGAGGTGTTTTTTTTTTTTTTTTTTTAAAGGTTCTGAGTTCTGGAGACTCTTAAACTATTCTAGGACATCGGAGCACTAAGTTCTCTTGAGGTAGCAGAGAAATGTGTTTAGAAACACTTAAACAAATGGAGGTTTCAAAAAAAAAGTCTCAGCACACCAACTACAAAGTTTTTCTCAAGAAGACAGCTGGCTGTGGTCGAGCTCTTTACCTTTGCTGTGGTTGAGAAACTCCTCGGTGAAGATTGGTATGTCAAACACAGTTCTGTCCTTCCCTTCTGCATCTTTCTGTTGGATGCAAGAAACAGTTAGAAGGCAGCAGGAGATAAGCTGAGCCATGGAAACATTTGGCCACACACACTGACAGCGAGCGGTGGTCATTTATCTAGTCGGGCTGAGGGTGGGTGGTTAATTGATTTCATACCTGGCCATGGGGGAAATACAGCGATACAGTTTAAGAAATGAGGAAGGAAAAGTAATTTCATCAACAGTGAAACTGAAAATAAACTAAATAAAGAATATCAAAGGCGGAGAAAAGGTTTGCAATAAATAAATATTCACCACAGCAGCACATCTCACAACGCAGGTTATAATTGTTTACTTCCTTCCTCTGAAAGATCCGCCCTCATTTCTTTATGATGATTTCCTCGCCTTTGAAAAGCTAGACTGGAAACACTGACGCGCTACAGGATCGCTGACTCCAACAAAGTCACCTTGGCCACAGCCATTCAGCTTCAAGACTAACGTACAAAGGAAACCTCTTAATTACATGCAGAATTTAATAAGCATGAATTACACACTTGGCAAAAGCCGAAGTGTTTGGATCACAAACCCAAACGCAGCAGCAAAGAGGATTAAACCAGCTTTACTGATGCAACAGTAAGCACTAGTGTAGAGCTGAGGGAGGGCAAAAACTCAACAGATTTAAGGTGTTCTGACCATGGCTGCACAAACTTACATGAATGCAATAAAGACGTTTTCACATCTGCACTCCTGAAAATATCTAGTTAACTTTATGAAGAGTGCTCCGGATATTCTCCCGACCTGGCTGTTCACATATGTTCTGGCAGACAGAACAACAGAGTCCGCTATCCGACGCTATAGTGAGAATATTTGTCCTAACATATATGTAACAAGAACAACATACTGAAGAACAGAAAACGTAATGCAGCCGTTGAATGAAATAATTCATTTTAATAGTGCATGGAGATCGTAGCGATCGAATGTAAACATTCTATGCACCGTGCAGCAGTAACAGTATAAAAATGTCGCTCCCCCCTCCTATTGGCTCGAGGTGAATTCTCCGGATAATATCCTGCTGCATTCTCACATCAGCTCACTCAGACTTGCTGCGGAAAAAAATACGAGGAGTCTGGCAGGAGAAACTCTAGGTGTAAGTCAGAGCGGAAAAATGTGTTTGTTTGTGTTAACACATACAGCTCCTCCTGGTTATATCAGGAGTTTGTCAGGAGATTCCTGAAAGTGTGAAAGCCCTAACACATGCACGCAGGAGTTTTGTGCATTTGTGAAAAGACCATTCCTGTCGGACATGCTTTCACAAATAAAAAAAAAGTCCACCGTAATGGTGACTGTTTCTGGGTCAATATCGATACAGCCTGTTTAAGGACGTCTCTACATTACAAACATAGGATTAGAAAACGTAATACACACAAGTTAGGCGAAAAGTCAAGAAGACCTTTAACTAAGGGGCCTGGCAGAAAAGTTCTGGGTAAAGTCAGTCATGATGAACAAATTCAGCTATTTGCATAAACACATGCTCCTAAACCAGAAATATAAAGACATTTCAGGTGTGTGAAAAGGCCTTTTTGTGACTGTCAGGAACTCTGGTACAAAGATAGGACATCTTGTAAACGTGATATTGACTTCTTGAGCAAAGTGATTTTAAGTGTGGTCGGGCAGCGAAGCGTTACTGACCTCGTGCAGAGCCTCGTTTGCTACCTGGTGCCCAACATCTGGAAAGGAAGGAAAGAATAAAAAATGAGCACAGCAGATGATTCATGTTTCCCCTGATGCAGCGTGCCTTTTGCTACATCATGAAGTGATAGAATGAATCACAGAAAAGAAACATAAAAACACATCTGATGTCAGCACTCCTTACAGTGAATCAGCTGAAATGTGGCAAATATCCACTTCAGGACAGCAGTTTCATGTTTCTCTGATCATTTTTTCAGAGGCAGAGCCGTTTATGTCGTCAACATTTTTCATATTTAAACAGAGATTTCGCCACTGTAACACAATAGGAACATATAACAGAGACCATGTGTCGAGTTGGCACGGTAACAGCTCCTTGGCCTCAAGGTGAACTCATAACCTCAACTACTACTACAACTTCAATTTTTCAAGTATCCAATTTCCTTGTCACAGTTCCATTGACTGAGCAAAGCAAATAATGAGTTCTGAGATCCTACACCGCATGATGGAGTTTATGTAAATGATGAATTCAGAATTTGCAAACCTTTGAAGGTGAAAGAGCAGCCAGTTTCTAAGATGCTGTATAATGTCCTTTATGCGTTGCAGCTGATTTCCTTTAAGACTCAACGAAAATTAAAGTCTCAACAAGACCAATTTCTTCTGCTTTAAGTCATGAACCAGATATTCTAGATCAGGGTGTGCTCTGGTGGTGTGCTCGTTGGCATCTTTGTGGTAAAAAAAAAACAATTTTTCCAGAAAGTCCAGTTCTTTAGGACTTCCATGCTTGTAAGGTGTTCAACCTCTCTGTTTAGATATTTGCTAACAAACAAGTAAAAAATGTCTGCCTTGCCTAATACAGGCCCAACAGCTAAAGTAGCTGGTTGCAGAGGTTGTCCATCCTGTTCCTTTTATTTTTAACCATATCTCACCTCCTCTGTGCCGCTTGCCCTTCTGCTTCTCCTGGACCTTCCTGGTGAAGTGTTTGTAGGCCTCCGTCTTCTGGTACTTCTCCAGCTCCCGCATGTAGCGCTCCTTATCTTTCTCTGCCTCGTCCAAATATCGCTTCAGGGAGAAGAAGGAGAGAGAGAGAGAGAGAGAGAGAGAGGGGTGAGAAGAGCTGTGAGGACTCAGGCAACAAATAAGGGGGGAAATGAAATTTGGTCAAATCAGGATGAAGTGGGTTGAAGTATTGGGAGTAATCATTCCTAATCAGGATTAGAACCATGATTAGTTACTTTCTAAAGACAATGATCGCTAATTTCCAAAATTATTAGCCTACATTGAAGCAAATTACATCTTACACTCAACATTTGACTTGTTTAAATTAAGAAAAAATATTCATAATTTGTCTAGCTCACTAGTTATTCTGACTAGCGAGGCTGGCATTCATTTAGTGAGCTTTTCACGCATAGCCTAGAACTTAAGCATGACATGTAAGGCTGAATAACAAATGACATGTCAAACCTTCATGCTGGCATTTAATGTAAAGTCAAAAAACAAGATTTTAACATCATGATACTGCACATGTGATTCCTTTCAGACAGACATATGACACTGGGATGCATATAAGTGGAATAAGGTTATGATTATGCTCATTATTTAAATATATTCGGTTCTTTCAATCACTACAAGCCAGCAGTTTGATACATGTTTACATCTTTCTGCTATTCTTGCATCTTAAGCAAGTTCATGTTAACTTAAACAAATGAAGAAGAGGTAACTGACTCTGCAGGCTTTTGTTCCTACTCTCCTGTCGGGCTCAATATAAAATTAGCTCTAAGTCTCTGCTGGTTTGAGGGAGTGTTAAAATCTGGCTAGGGATAGTCTTAAGTGTTGGCATGTTGCAGATGAATATTTTAGTCCAGTCCTTTGGGACACCTTTGGTGCAATTACTGAAAAAGAAATTACAAATTAAAATACTTCACCTTCTTAATCAAGAACCAAAACAGATGTTGCTGCCTGCCTCTCCGTTGCTAGCCTTTTTTTGGTCTAATGCTATAAAACCTGGATCATTGAATATGAACACTTGCAATGCATAGCAACACTTAGTGCTAAGGAAACACAATGCTGGACTCTTACTTGTCTGGACCTTCCTCACTGACCTGCTTCTCGTCGGGGGGCAGCTTGCTCCACTCGTTGCCCAGCATCCTGGTAATCTCCGGGAAGGGCACGTCTGGACGCTCTGCGCGTAGCTGCTCCCGTCTGTCGTTCATGAAGCGAACGTAGCCTGTAAGCGGGGCTTTGGGTGCGTTGCTGTCCTTCATCGGCTTCTTCCTCTTCCTCCCCTTGGTCCAGCTACCACGTCGGGGCTTCTGCAAAGAGAACAAAAACAGATGAGTTTTGAAGAGTTAGGTAGCCATCCTTCATTATGCACACTGACAGGATATTCTTTTGGGGGTTTGAATAGGAAAAACTGAAAAAGGTGTTATTTGATATCAGTTTGCTGAAGATTGACCTCATCTCCGTTCCTCTGGCCGTTGTTGTCAGTGTTTGCTGCAGGAGAGCCAGTCTGCTCATCCATGTCTTCTTCGACAACCTGTGAGATCTAGAGGGAAACAGGGGGAGATGTTAGAACAGGAAACAGTAAAAGCAACAAACCTAGCTGGGTGCTGCCTATATGAGCATTTGGAGACCGGCTCCGACTAAGGCATGGAGCATTATCACAAGGTACACAGCCGAGGCCAGAAAATAAACACCAGATTTTCTTTCTGCAACTTTATTTTCCTTTTTTTCCCTGTCTAAACTCCTCCCTGTCTTGGCCCTAACCTCCTCTTGGCCAACCACATTTCCTCTAATAGAAATGTTACTGTGATCAATCACCTTTTCAGAAAGGAAGTGAAAAAAAAAAAATCGAACAACCCCCGGCCAAATGTTGCCTATTTTCAACAGGAAGAAGTCATGCTGTGGTACTGCCTCATTATTAGAGATAAGAAAACGCCTACATGCTAAAAAAACAAACAAAAAAACTCTTCAATAAATAATTTGTCCTCTTGCTGAACTTCTGATCTCTTCTATGAAGAGCCTTTTAGGTCCACACTTCACTGTTAGCAAAACAAAAAAAAGTTTACAAGTGTTACATTCTTGCAATAGTTTTGACTCTTAAAACAATAAAACAAATATATTTGTGGGGGGAAAAAAAAGTCTTCATTAATTGAGAGAACATATGGTGGTTAAGAGTTCTTGTGGGGGGGGGGGACATAATCCAGGTTAAACTCTAAAAATAGGAACAATGTCATTTTGTGTCAACTCTGACCTCCTCTGAATTACTGTGTGGGAAGTGAGCCTCTGTATCCTGGATGTGGCTTCTGCCCCCCCTGACACTAAACACTGTGGGAAAAGTCGGAGGAATAAACCAGTCAACAACCAAAAAACCGACAAGAGGGTATGCAGGGAAAATCCCCCGCCCCGCCCCGCCCCAACTGCAAACAGTTAGAGCAAGCAAGGAGTTGTCATCCTGGACAGTGCATGGACTCACTTTCTCCTAACACTTAGTCAAACATGAGGACCCCCCCCCCCCCCCCAAGTGTCATCAACCGTGTGAAAGTACTTCACTTGCAGATAGGACTTTAAAGATGCTGAAGCTTGGCTGTGAACGTCACATAAGACATCATCAAAAAGCATTTAAAAAAAGAAAAGTGCTGTATTCTTAGTGTTCTTCTACCCGAAGCTGAAAAAATTAAAACCTATGCGGTAGCGCCCCCTGCTGGATAAAAGCACACAGTAGGTAAATCCATGATATGAAGGTTTATTTTCCTTCTATTCTACCACAGTATAAACGTTTCATGATGAAGTGTGACCCAGGTGTAAAATCTGAAACACTTTGAGATGTCCTGTTTATTTATGTTAGATACTAAATGGCCAATGTGTAAGAAAACTAGCAAAGCTAAATGACACATAAGGCCAACATAGAAACGGTGCAGCTAATTCCAACATGTACAACGCAAACAAATGTCTAAATGTAATATACAGCACAATAGCACAACAGTGACATGACTTAGCATTGTCTTTACATTGTTAACACGACATTACATGATGCTTCTGTGTGTGCACAGTGAAGAAAGCGTGTCACCGTCAAGCTGTGTTGATGACACAAAGCGTATTGGTTCACAACGTTAAGTGTTTGCATATCATCAAGTTGTGCAAACGTGGAGTGTGAATGATAGTCCTGCTAAACAGAGATGTTGACGAAAGGTGTAAATGGGCTCGGCCATCAGGTGAACCACAGCTTTTGTGGATGATATGCTAATTGCACTCCCAACAGGATGCTGTTGTGTGTTTTTTTCCCAGCATATCCATCTATTGCTGTTACGACCATTAAGTGGCTGATGTGTTTGTCGACGAACGATAACTAAAACAAAATAACAAAAGGTCATATTTATTTTTTTATCATGATCAGAAACAAAGGTAGCATCAGACCGCTCGGCTAACGTTAGCACTCAACTGGATGTTAGCTAGAAGACGTTTCCAGCGAGACCTTCTTCTTTAAATTATCTACTTAGTAAGATATGTCTGATCATAAATAAGTAAATAACGTGTTAAAGGGAAGCAACATGCAACAGTCCGGTGTAAACTAACCTTCGACAAACGTAATCCGTTGCTTTTATCTGCCTATCCAAAAGGATATTTCCCCAATCAAAACAATGCAGCGGCCAGTCATAGAATCACACCACATAGACACGCAATGCTATGCCTTTCCGTGCAAAAACAAGTCTAATACCGCCTGTTATTTCTTTAAATATATTATTGGAGTCGTGTTTTGCTTTTTTTTTTTTTTTTTTTGTCACGTATGAACAGTGATGAAAGTATTCAAAAACAAAAATCACAAATATTCATTATACAAAATTAAATATTATTTATTGATTGTAACTGGATATATTTAGCCGATATTGTATTCAAACTACATGCAGAATAGTATAGAAGCAAACAACACAGTATGTTCTTTCAAAACTACTGAGAAACCAATACAAAGAAAGCAGTAATTGAATGCCCAGTACTATTGACACGATCTACATCATCTGATTCTGTGACCCATTTAGTCACTGTTTTCTTCGTGTGTGTTTATACCAGTGTCTTTAAGGGTGCTGATTCCCCCTACTGTTCATGTTAGGTATAACAATACCTACATTCATTTGGATTTTTTTTTTACAATAACCCTCTTGAGACATTTCCTGCTTTAATTATCAGACATAGAAGGTTAAGCACCACGCTGTGAAAGAATGGATGAGGAAATATTTCATCAGCTTTGACTTTTGTAGGTCACTCAGGCACAACAATGCAATAAGCAGAGCTGGTAAGCTTTCAGGGTTCTTTGTAGTTTGTAAGGCATTCTTTAATTCCTTAGCTGTTTCAACTTGTAATTCTGTCATCACTTCTTATTTCCCTGTCCTCCTCTCTTTGTAACTTTAGAGTGAGTGTTTAAGTTCTGCAAGTTCCACACACACACACACACACACACACACACACACACACACACACACACACACACACACACACACACACACACACATACACAACAGCAATAGTGCTGCTGGAAACCCAGGGGTACAATCAACTTCTGCAAGCAATCAGATCCTCATATTGCTCTGAGTATCCCCAAAACATTGGTAAATAATTTTATTCTTATGAGAAAAATGCACAAACTCTGCTTTAATGCCTTTGGAAAGTGTCCCTCTCTACAGCCTTGTCTCTGTTGGCTAATATGGTCTGTCCAAACAGAAAATTCACTATCACATTACTGTCCTTTTGGTGACGGGAAACACCAGATTAATAATGAAGCTCCCAGCCCTGAAGAACTTGTCTAACTTTAGAGACAGACAGTGAGAGCGTGTGAGAAGACTAATACTTTAATTCCAAATTAACAGATTGCAAATCAACACTCTGGTGGGAGTAACCTAACTGTAGCTGCAGTCTAATTGAAACTTTGATTGCAATCTCATCGTAATTATCCAGAGTTAATCCGACCCAATTCTCAGGCTCATTACACACAGGTCTGGTACATGGAGAGTTTAGAGAAAAAGTCACAGACAAAATCAGGACATTGAACCCTGATTGTCCTCAGATTTTCCAATTCTTAAAGCCTAACTTGCACTTATGCTGCGTTCACCGACTTCAGTTCCTGCTGTGCTGCTCGACGTGTCCGCCGCACTTTTCTTTCTAATATTTCTCATTTGGAGCCATAAATGTAAAACATTTCAAATGTCATATTTGCTTCCTCCGCTTGTCATCACAGCTTAGCTTGTCAACCTTTAGATTTGTACAGCTTTATCAAAAAAAAATCTGAGACTCCCAGAGTACCACAAGAGGGATCCTGCGTACCACCAGAAGTACTCGTACCACAGTGTGGGGATTAATGGTCCAACACATTTTCTCTAAAAAAGGCACATAGAAAGAAAACCTTTCAGTATCAACATTTCAGGTCTGAAGATGTCTCTGTTTATGTAACTAAATTCTTAAAGAGCCCATATTATGCCCTTTTTGGGGTTTGTATATTTAATCTATGTACCTACTTTTGTATGTTCACAATACCGAAAAAAGTGTCTGTTTTCATGTACTGCTCCTCCTTGCTCCCTCTACGCTCTGAGTCTGTCAGCTACGCTCTGCTGAGCCCACACTGTTAGACCCCACGTGGGCCAAGTCTGCTCTGATTGGTCTGCCGATCCGCTCTGTCGTTATTGGTCAGTCGCTCAGCGCGGTTCTTGGAAATGTCCCGCCTCTTTTACCATATTGGGAATGCAGCCACTGGCTCCGTCCGAGGGGAGCATAAACATTAGCACCTTAGCACTACTGTGCTACTGCAGGCTACGGCATATCGTGGGCGTGCCACAGAAGTTAACGGGCCTGCAACATGAGCTGCTGGGCTTGCCACAACGAGCCAATGGACTTAGATCAGTGATCTCACACTGACAATGACGTCGGACTGACAAATTTTATTGAGGGGGGCTAGAACCGAGCGTTACTTGCAGCTAATGCTACAGCTAACAGGAGGAGGTAGGTTTGAATTTTTGCACATAGATGTGCCTAAACATGCACAGGGCAATTGGAAAACACACTAAAGAGCATATAAAACCAGAAAAAGCATAATATGGGACCTTTAACCTCCAGTTTTCTCTCTGCCTCCTAAGTATTTACAGCAAGGGAAATAATAATCCATATTGTTTGATATTGTTGGAAGAGTTGGATGTTGTTATGGTCAGACATTTCCATCAAATGCTATGTATTTGAAATGTTTTGTAATATGTATTTGAAATGTTTTGTAATAGTTTAATAGACATTTACATAAAATTCAGTCATAGCCTTTATCTTTTTGGAAAGTTTTGAGTAATTTTTGGTGGCACAGTATAGATTTGTAATGATTTGCCCTAAAAAGTAAACATCTGCCAAATATCCAAACACTACTCTTCACATAAGCTGTTTTGTCCGCTTCTCCCTGGCGCCCAGATGTCCTACATTTCTGCTTTTCAAATAATTCCCCAAGAATTCCTCTGAACCTGCATTCATTATACTGTACCTGTCTGTGCTGGAGGTGATACTGTACAGGTAAAAAAGTATGTTTTTCCCATCGGATTAAAAGCTCAGTATAAAGGCCCTTTTTCAAATGTCTTGTAGCTGTGTTGCATTCAGAGGCGGCTGTCAGTGGGAAAAAAAACCTGACATCTTTGGTTTTTCTACAATGCAATTCTCCCTGCAAGACATCACTGAACATGAAAGAAAAAATAACGAGTCCGGTGGACTCACACCAAAGCTTGACATTTGGTTTTGATGTTTGCTGGAAGGAATTCTGCTCGAAACTGAATTGAAGACATACCGTTTAACTTTTTAAAAGATTAATATGACACACTTACTGTAATGCAACTCAAAGTTGTTTTTCTCAAGGTTTTCTATAAAGCTGTACACATCTTTCCTGAGGTAATTTGCTAACAATTACAACAACAGGTACATCAATTAGCTGTGGTTAATTTTAGCTGAAGCGAGCACAAAAAGCATCTGCCAATAATATGGTAATCCCTACCAGCAGACACCTCATATTCCAGCACTCCAACAGTCATGAATTAATGAGAGGTAGCTTTGCTTGTGGAATCTGGTTTGTCACTAATTGGCTCACAGAAATGATGCAGGCCAACTGTTCAACTCCCAGCAGAAGCAAGGCTGGCTCGGTTTGTAGCTTTTTTTGTTTGTTGGTCAAACCATTCAGTATTATCGGTCAGTGGATGGAGGCTAGTAGGTAGTGTCACAGCAAACAACAAAGCCTTGGAAGCCAGGGTCAGTCAGCTTTGGACTGGAGTCTTTTTAGATCCCTGCAGGCCTGTGGGGCACAGCATCCAGCTGTCCCCTGTACCGTTCTCCACCTGTCACGCCGTGTCGAATCATCTGGTGTCAGCCTGAGAAGTTTAGTGCAGAGGAAAGCTTTTGCAGCCACTGGCCCTCTGCGGGTCAACCATATGTCCTTGCCAGTCAGCTTGGGTGGTCTGGGAAGTGGCAAAACTGCAGGCATCAAACTGTCCACATGCCTCAGGACATCAAGGGTGGTAATGCCACAAGATGTGCCAGTAAGGCTGAGAATAGACAGTCAAGTGAGTGAAGCAGTGGTTTAGATCACTGACAAAGATGCTATAGAGTAAATTAGTATGATTTACACTGAAAATTGAGAGCATAGCACTGTTTATTTTCACTGATTCAAACACAATACACAGGTTTTAGCTGCTGTGAGTGCCTACGACAGTGTCCTTAGTGTAAAAAAAAGTCCTTGATAATTGCATAAAAAAACCCAACAACTTCAATGGCAGTTTTATCGGCAGAAACCGGCACATCATCAGCTTCTAATATGTCTCCAGTGATAGTGGAGACAAAATCTCTAATAGTACAAACAAAACATTGATGGTGATTGATGACAGGGCAAAAAGGCAGTGACAGTTTAGGATTTTTGTTATGGCCAGTCAGATTTCTAGGGGGCCCATGCCACCCTTGGTCACCCATCTGGACACGCCCCTGCTTGTACTTCATTTAAGTATTTCCATTGAATGCCACATATCCACCAGTAATACACTTGGTTTAACATTGTGTTTGCTTTTTTATTGCACTGCTGTTTCCCTTTATTCAATTAAAGCTATCTATTCTAAGCTGTAACTGCATTGTTGCTGTTAAATTGTTAATGTATTTGGGGGTTCTTTATTTCTATTAAATTCATTTAAACCTCATTTTGAATCCCTTTCAATTCAGTTTCCTTGAATTACACTGTCCTTTTTATTGTCTTTCTTCTTAGACAGTCCTTCACCTTATAAGCATTTTAAATGTCTCTTTGTTGCTGTTAGCATAGCTTCCAAGCAATATGGCGGACTATAAGTTTCGATTCTTTCGACCCTCTGATCTGTGATTGGTCTGTAGCTAAATAAAATATGAGGAACTAGCATTGTTGTTTCACCTAACTGCAACAAGCTTCCGATGACCCAAAATGACGATTTTTGCGTCATCGGAAGCTCCTTTTCAGACTTAGAAATACAAAGATTTCCCATCTCAGGGGGAAAATGAGGGTGGGATGCACGGCCATTCAAAAATACTACCAGGTTTCTAATGATACAAAGCTTAATGCAAATGGATAAAGTATCCCTTTAATGATGAGTTAATTTTTCATCCTAAAAAATAGCCTCATTGGATTATAAAACAGTTAACACACTGTACATTGGAAAGA